CTAGTGCATTATTTAAGGATTCATAGAATCTCTAATTTATGGAAATTTATTGTCTTTAAATGCTGCCCCGGTTTGTTTCCCAGCCAATGCAACAATTGTGGAAGCTCATTGGTAGAATTCTCTTATGACAGAAAGAAGGCCACGATTCACACCATTTTATCATCTGGAGGGGGGACACATTTAATTACAAAACCGAATTCTTACAGCTGTCTTAAACACTTCATACGTTCAGCTCTACATCGTTACATCATAGTTATTCCCCCGAAACTCTCATTTCATCTCAGTTGTTTTATAGTCTCAACATCACATTACGTAACTGCACATGCACAGGAATATCATGTCGAAAGCTTACTGGAATTCACCTGTGCTGGTCGACGCCAGAGGTTGCTTTAACACTGGGAAGAATGTTTATACAGACATTCTCTGTTTATGCCAAAACCTCGTAATATATCATCTAGTTGTGTACGAATGAGGCATTAGGGACTTTATTATTGCTAAGACTCATACTTGACCTTTAGCATGTACTGTTTTGTTGCAAAGTAAGTATAGGGCCATGTATAAGGATATAAGGCAATAAAACCTTATAAAAACAGATAAATGGAGGTAGAAGATGTATTTCAGTCATCAATGCACACATTCAGAGACACACAGGAGCTCTTTCAAACTGGGCACCGTTTCATTCACAACACCTATCCCATCAACCAGGAATCAGAATCAGAAATACTTCAATAAGGGAGAAATTACTTTTGTTACATTACCCCATATCTAATAGAGTGACTGTAGGACCAGTTTTATATAACACAATTTCATACAATATATGTAATTAGGGGGTGCCCGCTCCATCAGTTTGGGGGTCCTTGGCCTGGAAAATGTTAAGGACCCCTGATCTAATCTAATTGATTTCATAAAGAATCTTACCTTTCTATATAAAAGACTCTACAACCTACAGGTTCTCAGTCCTTGGGATGAGTTAAACATCCCTGTATTATCTGTTAATAATTAAAAAGAACATGAACAGTACCCTTAACTCAAGACTGATCCAGAAACAATCGAGGGGGATAAGCTTGGAAAGTTCAGTTTAGGCAACTGAACATTTTTTATAAGACATTTCACCTCTTCAAAAGGCTTCTTCAGTTCTAATTGCTAGTGGGGAGTACTGAGATGAATATAGCTTCCTTAGAAGATGGCTTCCTTAACCCTTTTCTCAAACCATCTGTCTTCCTTGGCCAGAATATGGACATTGTTGCCCTTATACGAGTATCCTTTAGCCTTCAGGTGTAGATGAACTGTAGTAGTTGCTTGGTTTCTTCAATGTACAGGTCTGTGCATTCTTCACTACACTGAATGGTGTAAACTATGTTCTCTTGTTTCTGGGTGTATTAACTTTGGGGTGAATCAGTTTTTGTCTCAGGGTGTTGCCGGGTTTGAAGTGCACAGGGATCCAGTGCTGGTTGAAAAATCCTCCGGAGCTTTTCAGAGATTCCAGCAACATATGGAATGACAATAAACCTTCTTATCTTTTCTTCCCACACAGATCCAACTTATTTCTGTGACCATTCAATCATTTCATTAAACTTTCACCTGCCACGGTTTTTATTTCTGGTAGTAAGGGATAGCTAGCTTAGGCTAGTGCAATCTTAGCAATGTTATCACTGCTCACTTTCTCTCTTCTGACACTTTCTAAATCTTCCTCTCTTGTCTCCGGCTCTCTGTCTCTGATGTTCAATCATTCCCCTGCCTCATTTAGTGCTAGTATGTATAATTAGTGTGGTATTTTTGTAGCTTTTGATGAGTTAGTCAGAGTTAGAGTCCCGGGTTCAGGCTATTGAACATCTAGAGTTAGAGTAGGCCCACTTGTTAACAGCCCAGGAGCCACTGAGACTAGGGACACGTCTTAGCCTTCAACTTGCTGGATCCAGTTCCAACCAAGTGTTTTAAGGAAGTATTCCCTCTGATTTCCACCACTATTTTAGTGTGAGTAATCTATCCCTGTATCAGGGATACATATGTACATCAGTTGTATGTACAGAGAGCTGTAATTAAAGCTTTACTTAAGAAACCATCTCTTGACCCAGATGACTTGGTCAATTATAGACCAATATCCAATCCTCCTTTCTTATCTAAAATCCTTTAGAAAATAGTTTCCAAATAGGTGTGTGACCGCCTACACCATAATGACCTTTTTTAGTTTCAGTTTGGCTTTAGAGCTCATCATAGCTCTGAAACAGCTCTGGTGAAAGTCACTAATGATATTATCATGACCACAGAAAATGCAATTGTATCTGTAGTTGTCCTGTTAGATCTCAGTGCTGTATTTTATACAGCTGATTATGATATTCTTTAAGAAAGACTTGAATATTATTTTTTAGGAATTAAGGGAACACAAATAAGCCAGTTTAAACCTTGTTTATCTGTCAGATTTCAGTTTGTTCATGTCAGTGATGAATCTTCTTCATTCTCCAGGGTTACCTGTGGAGTACCACAGGGGGCAGAGCTAAGGCCAGTTTTCTTTACTATATATGTTCCCAATCGGTAGAATTATTAGACAGGTAGATTATTAGACTATAAATCCAGATGAAACACATTACATAGACTACAGGGATGTCTTGAAGACATAAAAACCTTGATGACTCTTCACTCTCTGTTTCTGAATGTAGACAAAACAGAAGTTATTGTCATTCGACCAGTACTTCCGTACAATCAAGAAGTCCAGAAACAGTACTTAAAGCCTTCAGATGATCAAAAATGTTGCAGAGTTTTTATGAAAATTCAAAAGAGATCAGAACTTCTCATGATAGGCTTCCTGTTAAATCCAGAATAGAATTTAAAATCCGCCTTCTCACATATAATATAAAGCCTTAAATGGCCAAGCTCCATCTGATATCAGAGATCTGATTGTTCCTTATGTTCCTAACAGAGCACTTCGCTCTCAATCTGCAGGTTTACTAGTGGTTCCTAGAATTTCTAAAAGTAGAATGGGAGGCAGATCTTTTAGTTCTCAGGCTCCTCACCTGTGGAACCAACTACCAGTTTTAGCCCCTGAGGCAGACACCCTGTCTACTTTTAAGGCTAGGCTTAAAACTTTCCTTTTTGATAAAGCTTATAGTTAGAGTGGCTCGGGTTACCCTGAGCTATCTCTATAGTTCTGCTGCTATAGGCTTAGACTGCTGGAAGACATAGGGACCCCTTTTTCATCATTCTGCAGTATTTGTTAGTTCAGTCTCTAACGTTCTCCTCTCTGTGATTTTCTCATCATAGTAGCTGCATCTGGTCTGTTCCTGTTTGGCTGTGATTCCATCCTGGAGAGAAATATCAGCAGCTGTCATCAACACCTTTGTTTACAGTGTCATGAAATGCGGACAGTATTCAAGCAGAGACAGTCAGTAGGAAAGTTTAAAACGTTTATTAATAAACAAAACTAAAGGTGGACCTGTGGCTCGCGGATTCTGCAGCAGGGGGGGCGGGGCACCGCCCAATCTCAGACACTCTGTGGGAGAAACACAGGAAGTGACCACGATCATCTGACAGAGGATGATTATCTGAGATGGTCACTTACCTGGTTTAACAGTCCTGACCAAGAATGTCCCGAGTGCTGCAGTTCCAGAGGTCTTGCAGGAAGCCGATTCTGGTCAGGAATTCAGAACAGACAGGAACAGACAGAACAGGATCCAGATCAGGCTGGAACAAACAGGTGGCAGGATCCAGGCTTCCAGGCATCATAGAGATCCCAGGCGGGTTCAGAGTCTGACTGGGACTGGAAGCATGATCAGGTGGTCACGCACAGGAGCAGAAAGGATCAGGTGCAGAAAGGCAGGCTTAGTGGCAGAGGGTAGCAGAGACAGGACGTGGAACCTGAACTTGATGCAGGACTTTAAACTGGTCTCCTCCCTGGAGCCAGGCTTACTGAGATAAAACTGAACCTCCCCACATATAGAGCCAAATACCCAGAGGACTCAGTGGGGAAGGAACAGTGGACGATCAGGAGACGAGATAAACCCAAAACCTTTTTCCACTGGCTGCCAGGATCCAAAACATGAACCAAGGAATAAAACTAACAGACAGGCTAACAGAAAGACAAATAATGATCTGGCCCCGAATGTTCAGGCTGAACAGAATATAACCCAGAGTAAACAGGTGAGAGGAATAAATTATAATTGAGGCAGTAGGTAAAACTGCAGGTGAAAGAAATAACCAATTAAGGAGGAGCAAACAGGCCAGATCATGACATACAGATGTTGGAGCTTGGCCTGTTTTTTAGTGTAGTCCTGTTTCTCTGATTCTGACTAACTATATGTGCTTTCTTTCATCCTCTGACATGGGAGCTACTTCGGAGCTCATCTGCCTGGCTGTGTCTTTCCTGGACCGGGCCGCCTGTGGTGCTGGATGAAAATTCCTTTTTGTATCTTTGCATCTTTTTGTGTGTCTGCTTTTGCGTCCTCGAACCCCAGCTGGGCTTATGGCCGCTCATACTGAGCATGATGGAGATTCCTTCTTGCTAAGAGGGACTTTTCCTCTCCACTGTCACTACATGAATGCTGGGTGTGAGGGATGAGAAAACATTGAACCACTCAGACTGTATACTTTGGTTGAATTGTCTCTGTAAATACCTTGAGATGACATGAGTTGTGAATTGGCACTAAATAACTAAACAGGTTTTATTGTATTGTATTATGGAGATACTTGAAGATTGTACAAAAGCTTGTGACACTCAAAAAAGTTTAAGAGCCAGTGGCTTTTAGCATGAACTAATCAGGTTGCAGGGGACTTTATACACTTTTAAAATGCAACGCAAGTAACAAGTCTATAACTGTTTTCCTTTAAGGGTAAAGTAGGTGAACCAAAGTTGATGTCTGTATTATTTTGTTCAACATGTCTTCAGTTTCCTGTTGACTTTTTTTTAGCCTGAGCTGATGCATATTCATAGCTGAAAGTGGAAGTGGTGGGAAGGTACCACATTACACGCTTTGAGACCACATCCTTAGTCACTGTGCTGACAGTGACGCCTTTAGCTCGCTACCTGAGTGTCCTTCCACTCAGTCTTCTGCCGGCGATGCTTAAGTGACTCCAGGATCACCTTCAACTATCAAACTGCAATCAAACCACCATTCAAAAAGGTAAAAAAACCTGCTGTTTTTCTGTGTTTATAGATCAAACGTCAATTTTAAAGAAAGTCTGGGTCTTAGATTATTAACATTTTTAATGCTTTTTCATATATTTGTATACTAATGCAAATCTATTCATCTTCATATCCTTTTCACTTTGAATGCTAATACTAATTTATTAACGCCTCTTGTACTTTTTAAATCTTACCGGGTTGTGCTCTTTTTGTAATGATTAACCTTTGCTCCAGTTTGGCATAAGATGACTTAAAGTCGAGATGTTTTCTTTTATTTTTGCTTTCTTTAAATTCAACAGTCAATCAGCTATCTCTATTTCTGTCTTCAGTCTCATGTGCTGTGTTTTCCCCTGCCTGCCCAGCTTCTGATAACCGTGAGTCATCCGCATGGCTCCTCCACCTCTGTTCCTATCATTGCTCTGGGTTCTCACGTTATTCATTGGTGGAGGTAAGATGGTTTATGGGATCTAAAGAACCTTTTCCTCTGTTCTGTACATCAACATTTCAGAAGATTGTTCTTCTTTACACTTCATGTAGTTTTAAATCAGTGAATCCTCTCATATCTGCATTTCATTAATCAAAAAATTAACATGGCTTTGCACTTTAAGATAAGTTGAAACTTCTAGGTTGAGATAAGAATCACTGTGGCTGCCGTTCGGGATTAAGAAGGGCAAATCTGTGTACTGAAACCGTTGCAAATGACCTCCTTTTTTCTCCTGTGCAGCAGCTGCATCTGTCTGCAATGTCACCTGCAGCACGGACTACAACACAATGCTTAACTGCTCCTGCTCAGGCTCTGTGCCAGCACTTCCTGTTCGACTTGATGTGACTTGCAGGTAAAAAGTTGTCTTGTCATTGTTTGATGTCGTTGCAAATGCTTTTATTTGAAATAACACAGCAAGTCTGCAGTGGCTGTTTTAAGCTCTGTTTTAAAAAAGAGAAACAGCTCCATGAGTCATTTTCACACCTGTGACACAGTCTCTGACATTTAAGGAAAGTAAGCCTCTGCAGCATCTGAGTTGAGTTACCAGTTAGAATATAAATAAGAGCCAATGGTTGGAGATCACACCTCTCAAACATTTTCTTTTAAGCTCAAACACAGATTTTCACTAACTTTTATAAACTCTCTTCAAAGTCAATTCCTCTTTGGAATAAACAGCCACCCCCTCCCCCACAGATCTGTAGCAGTAAAGATCATGTCTGACTAAGACAAAAGGTCAAGTTCAGTTTTTAGACATATAATGCTCAAAGTTTGCAGCAGAACAAGGAAAATAAAATGTAAATATTTCATTGCATTTAAGAAATTACTCCAATGGTCTGTTTGCACAATGAAGGTGTGAAGAGATAGAACAGGTGAGGATTAAAGATGACGTGACAGTGGAGGCGGCTTTTTGCAGATTGGATACTTAAACAGAGTTTAGTCTCGGCTGTAAGTTGGTGAGAAAACCATTTGTTGCAGCCGTACCAAATTTCATGTTCCACTTCTCTTTCCTCTACTTCTTGTTTACATTGAAACCATGGCAGGTGATCGCTAAGCTTAGGAAGAGTTGAGTAGCAACCAGTTACATTTACTTTAGCAACTTTTAGGACAAATTCACTGTTTGGAGGAGCTGAACTTAAGTCAACCCTTCTTTTTCACTGAATTTGTATTCTATGACAGTTTTGCTAATCTTACTAGAGTAGATTTTCTGGTTACTCAACCCATCATGAGTAACAAGCTCTTTAGAGATCATGTGAATATACATTGAACCGTAGATATTAAGCTGGAAGCTCTTTTTATTTCCTGATTTTCCTGTGTTGACTCAAATTGACTTCCATTGATTTTTAGTCTTTTTTCAACCCTTTCTATGTCCTAACCCTAAAACTAGCCCTAAACCTAACCATTGCCAATGCATACCTCATCCTAACCCAATTGACACCTTAGCCCTAAAGCTAACCATTAGCAAAAGAGCATGTGAGGACCAGCAAAAGGTCCTCAATTTGCAACAACCTGTCTTCAACATGATGGTGAAATTGGAAAAAATGGTTCTCCCTCTGATGGCTAGACAGTTACATG